AGCCAACTCTCTCGGCCTTTCCCCATAGCAGAGGTGCTCCAGCCCTCGGTTCATCTTTGTGGCCCTCCTCTGGACCCGCTCCAACAGCTCCATGTCCTTCTTGTGCTGGGGGCTCCAGAGGTGGACGCAGGACTCCAGGTGGGGTCTCGCCAGAGCAGTGTGGAGTTGCAGAACCACCTCTCTTGACCTGCTGGCCATGCTTGTCTTGATGCAGCCCAGGATACAGGTGGCCTTGTGGGCTGTGAACGCACATTGGTGGCTCATGTCAAGCTTTTCATGTACCAGTACCCCCAAGTCCTTCTTGGCAGGACTGCTCTCAATCCCTGCATCCCCCACCCTCTGCTGATAGCGGGGTTTGCCCTGACCAAGATGCAGGACCTTGCACTTGGCCTTGTTGAACCTCAGGAGGTTGACACAGGCCCATTTCTTGAGCTTGTCCCTTCCTTCTGTTCCATCAACTACTCAAATTCTCAGGTTTCAGATGAGACCAGTTACTGCAGTTCTTCCATATGTACAAAAAAATCCCAAACCCAAGTCTTCACCCTACCTGTTACTCATAGAGATGACGTGTTTTGGATATTTAATGAAATGTGATCTGATATGAGGTATTCTGTGTATGGAGAGACTTAAGAGTCTCTCTATTTTGCTGCTGGCAAGTTCAGATTTGACCCTAGTGACTTGATGAGTGTCGCTGTAACAAGGTACCTCGGGCTGTTTCAGATAAGGTAAGAGGAGCATCATCAATACGTGAGGGTACTTTAGATAATCTCTAATGTGCTCAGTACACTAACGCTAACATACCTATGCATCTTTAGCGGTTTGTGAAGAAGCAGTTTCAAGGTGTACTGTTGATAACTTGCTTATTTGAGCTCCTTCAATAAGGCCAAGCTTTATTGCAAAGAAATTTATCAGTAGAAAATAAAGCAAAGTTTCATTCAGAGTCTTACTTAAGCTCTTACACTTTTGTTTTACTGTTTTTCTGGTATTCCAATCGTTCTTTATTTCCAACTGCATAAAACATAGTTGCTGAAGTTTCTTGCCAGTTATTTCATAACTTACACTCTTCAAATCCTTCCTCACGTTTCCCATCCAGCAGTCCTTACATTTTAAGTTTTCTCCAACAGTTGCAATATTTCTGTTCTCTACATAGTTTATCAATAAAGTGTCTGTTCTGGGTTTAAAACTTCTTTAAGAAACTACTAATACACACATTTGAAACACATTTCTAACTCTGAGAATAAACCACTTTGTACAATAAGCATTCCTTTTTTCTGCTATTGCTGATAATTAAGGCTCTTCCTAATGAGTTTCAACATGGTTTTTTACCTCTTTGTGGAACACAGAAAGGAACTAAAACATACACTTAGCCCAAATCTTTGTGTTAACTACTAATGACTTGGAGGAGGAGGATTTTGCTGGCATTTCTGTTTGTTCATGGCTGACAGACTACGTTTGAGTAAGTTTTATACATACGGATATTCACACAGAAATAAAGTCATGAGAAATGTGGGAGAGTTATGTATAGGCTCGTAGGAAAGTCTAACTAGCCAACAAAGAATTGAAAAAGTTTAAAGAAAAATCCAAACTTGTCTAATATGTTATGCTAACTCTAGGAAAATTTAACTGTGCAATGAATTCATTGAATAAGATAACCATTGCCTAACATCAGCTATGTTATTTTGTGACTGGATGGCTGTAGTCCTTTAATTTGGTCAAAAGAAATGAGCTCTGATTTTACTGTTCTTGTTTTGGAGTGTGAACGTGAGACACTGAGATTATTTTGTTTTCTCTGCGTGTGACCCTTTATATACTGTTTTGTGGGAGAGCAAAGCAGCGCAGTTCTGTTCTCTGAACGCTATTATGATAAGCCAGTATGTCTGAATATCAGCTATATAAAATCAGGTCTTCAGACCCGCTAAATCTTGTTTAGCTACATGCTGACGTGTTGTTCTTGTTGTGGGGGGAAAACCTTACCAAACAAAACTTGTTGTTGGCGCAACAGACCTAGCGTGGCACAAAACTGAGTGCAGTGGCCTCATATTGTGGCCTCTCAGCCAACTGAGTTTATCAGTATCCAGCTGTACCATCTAGGAAGCTTGGTTCTGTAAAATTTGAATTGTCGTTGTAGCCTTGTAGAAACTAATTTGTATTAGAATAACTTTTACCGGTGTCTTCAGAGCATAAAAGACATCTTTCAAATGTTTGTCACCTGTATGTTTACTGTAGGTGTATGAAAATAAGTTTTGTTTGTTCAGAAGAGGCAGAAGGTCCTAAGTGTGTATCAGCCTCAGTTAGCACTCATTTAATTCTTAGTATGCTGAGGAGTAAGACCACTAAAACTCTACAACTTCTGTAACAAAAGTTCTCTTGTTGATTGTATGTTGCTGCTCTGAGTTAGCACTTAATCAAACCCTGCTGAATCTGTAACACAGATCCAGTAGGGAGGGGAGCTGCTTCTGACAACTGGTAGCAAAGAACTGTGTGTGCAGACTGATTTGCTGGAACATAAGCTGATAATCGCAGCTAGTGTCAGAAGATTTTTGTCACTACTTTCTGTTTTTTTAAGTGGTCAGTATAAGTGGTTGTGCAGTACTACCACCAAGTTAATGGCTCTCTGTACATAATTCTTGCATCTGTGATTTAGACTAGTGTGCTTGCTCTGATTCTAGGTGCAGCAGCAACACACAGGGGGGAGGCAGTGGAACTGGTAAAAGCAGTGTTCTTGTATTGCAGTGCTGACTGGTCTGTTACCAAATGTCAAGTACAGACTCGTTTCTGTCCTCCTTTTGCAATGCTCAGTACTTTAAGTACAAATAATATTGGTGCCACCACCTTTGGAGGTACAGATAAAGAAGAATGTCCAGATATAGTGTTGTATTACCAGGAGCTTCCCAGAAACAAAATGAACTTCTGATGTGTGTGTTCTCATGCTGAACATCAGTGTACTATTTTCAGAGTTGTTTGCTTCCAGAGTGGTTAGAAACCTTCCCTCAAACAGATGTAATTTACTACTTGTATGTTTCTCTCAAGGCTGGGAGAGTGTATGGGAATGAAATTCTGTGCTTTTTTTTGTAGCTCTAGAAGATTAAGTATTGCTTTCTTCTTCTGGCTATGAGTTTCTTGGCAATGTTTTTTCTGGAATATGGTCTTGATACAGTTTTATCAGGGCTTCCTTTTTTTTTCTTTCTGTAAAGTTGCCTTCGGGACTTGGAATCAAATTTATAGTATGGCAGTTATCTAAAAGCTATGGTTAGCCTAAAGACAAAACTGGATGTATGTAGGACAAAAATCTCTTCTAAGACCTTGTCTCTGAATCAGGGTTAGTAGCTGTCAGGTTTTGCTAGACATACCTAACAATTTTCTCTGTGATGATGTTTCCCAGCTGGAGGAAAAACGTTTCTGTGGTCTTCAAAGAATGAACTAAGCTATTGAACTCAAAGGATCAGTTGGCACTAGATGTATCTGAGTGTTGTAAAATTGAGGCTACTGTTGCTACTCCAGACGGGATATGTTCCCGAAGATTTCTTCTGAAGTTTGCACATCTATAATTAAAGACTGCACTCTAGAACCCTTCCTTAGCCCCCTGATACCAATTATTTCAAGCAATGCTTTGATTACTTGGTCTTCACATCTCTCTCTAAAAAGGACAGGTGAGGCCTCAGTCTTAGGTGAGATATGTGCCTTCTTTCCTCCATTATTTTCAGTATTTATCTTCAGGAATAAAGCTGCAAAGAAAAATATTCTACCAATAATTATTTGCTTGGGGCAGCAGTTTGACATTTCCAATACTCAAGAAAACTTATTTGTGTGTGAAAGTTCCCTTTTCTATCTAATGTGTTTCTACCTCTTTTGATATATAGCTATGGCTCCTACAGACTGCTAGTTGTTGTTCAGAAGGACCAAATGCCTGAATTCTAGTCTCTAATGCAATGATCTGAAGGATCCTTTTTAACTGGAGAGTATTTTACTGAAGATTCTTGTCAACTCAGATCCAGAGAGAAAGATCTTCTTATTCCCCACCCTTTCTTTTGCATTAGAGGCACTTATGCGAAAGCTTTTCTTTCTTACCTTTCTTGCAGAGCTTCCCTGTTCTGGAAGTAGCTCGACAATTTTGTTTATAACTTTTAGTGGCAGATAGTGCCTCATCTACAGTCCTTAGCAGATTACCAATTTCATATCAACATACTAGAAGAGATGTCTTATTTATTCAGTTATGTATAACTTCTGCCTGACATTTGGGCAGTCGTATTCAAGGAACTAGTATATTGACCAATAATTTTTGAATGCATACTATGTAAACAGATTGAAGGAAAATGTCATCTCTACGAAGTAGCAGCACCTCATCCAAATAACTTGAGGGAACTGATTTTCACATCACAGTAGTATAGTAGCTTTACATTTGCCTAGGGCCTTGAGGTACCTTAGGATACGAACAGAAAGTGCTGGCTTGTGTAAGTGATCCTTCAAAGATGAAGTCATGCTACTTCTGCTTGATTGGCTGATTAATCTTTCCTTGCATTTCTGTTGTTATCTTCTTATCCCCAAAGACTTTTTGGAAGATCAGCTAACCACTACCATGTTTTAGGTGTCACCAACTTTGTTCAACAAGTATGTCACCCACTTTTTGTACTTGAAATTTAGATACGTGTTCATTTCAGTGACTGTTGCCACTCGTTCCAGAGGGAGGCTAGCAGTGAAGCTTAGTATCATAAAACTGAGGTCTGGCATTAGATCTTTAGTTTCTCTACCAGTTTGGGTTTTAAATGGTGCAGACCAGGCAAGTTCAGAATATGCTTGCTTGAAACATCTGTCTGTGCACAGTGTTTGTAAACCATATGGAGGCTCTTCTTGATAGGGACTGCTTCACGTGTTCTATAGAAACCGCCTGTGCTGGTTGTTACTGGGTCTCTTGGACAGCTCCATTAACAATTTCTTTACGCAATGTTTGGCTACTCGTCTCGCACAGGAGGTGTGTGTTTGTTTTAACCACCTCGTCTGTCTGAGTTGCTATGCTCTGCAGTAGCAAAAATTAGTAAGAAGCTGAAGAAAAACCATGCATTGTTGGCAGGATCATTGCAGTCATGTTCCATGTGAGGAAGTATTGTTTGTCCCTTAATATTTTAAGGTTTGTGGACTTCCTTAAGGTATTTTTTTTATTGTTGTTATTTCGAGGACTTCATTCATGTCCTTCCAAGCTATCTCCTGAAGATAAATTGAAAGATAAAGCTGTTCCATTGCAGAGATCTTAAAATCAGTTCAGGGTATATGTACATTGTTGTAAACTAAATTGATTTCATCACATGCAAAGCAAGGCTTATTCTTCCTAAGCACAGGCAACTTAATTGTGTGTCTTTAAGATGTATTGCTGTAGAAGTCCAGAAGCTTGTGTATCTGCTACCTGGAGATATGGATACCATATAGGGTTTTTTGTGTGTTACCCTATAGACTGTTAATTAACTTGCCTTGTCGCAGTTCTTCCTGTGATTAAAATACAACTTTGACACCGAAAAGATTAGGTTGTTGGAAAACAGTGGCCTATGCAGTAGCAGTAGTATTTCTTCAAGAATTATACTAAGTCTTTAAAAAACACACAAAACAAACCCCCTTTCTTTAATTATCTGTTTAACAGTTTGATACTTTCGGTATGTCTTAGTAACACTTTTCAAAAGTAGAATTTAACTTCCTTCCCCTTCCCTAGAGTTATCATGTTGTTACATGACATGAACAACCAATTTGTTAAATAAAATTTAAAACCTAGTTTAGGTCTTGGGTATTAGAAGGAACTAATTTTGTAGATCTTTAACTGTTCTGTTAATTGGTGCTTTAGAGCTGTGTCTGACAAATTTTTCCAGGGGTTAACCAAATTAATTTTATAATTTTGGTAGTTGTCTTCTAGCTGCTAAATGTGTAATACTGTAGGAGATTCAATAGCCCACTCTGTGAAGGGCACATGAATTCCAGCACAGTATTAACAGCAGAATGGCACAGGATATCCACAGAGGAATTGGATTCAAACTTAATCTTTCAATTTGCACTTAAAAGTGAAGTGCCCTTACCACCATTTCCTATTGCAAGATCAGTCACGTTTGCACTGTATAACAGGGTACTTTCACCTGTATCTTACATATTTGACTCTAGAGAACTTGTAGACAACACCTCTAAAAACATCTGACAGAGGCTGTACCATTATGACAATGCTGTCTTTATAAATGATGGCATGTTAATTAGTTTAACAAGAAAGTGTTCTATAGTGTTAATTTGCTTAATGCATATCCATTAATTAGGGTAAAAATAAAAATAAGCCAGTGTGTTGATGAATAACAATCACATCTTTAAGTGACATGTTCTTAGTGATATATTGTACAAAATCCTCATGAAAACTTACTCAGTATCGTGATCTATTGTGATTTTAGTGAAAGTGAAATTTTTATTTGTAAACAGAATAGTTACAATAGGTTTAGTAGCTCAAGGAGCTTTTCTGTAGTGTCTTACAAGGATTTAGGTGTGTTTTTTCAAGAAGACATTCTGTCAATCTTTTCAGTTTATGGTGCCTATGAATTTCAATGTTCTTAGTGTCTTTCCATCCCTATCCTAGAGTATTTTCCTTGTGTTCATTCCTCCTAGAAAGCTGTATTTAGGAGTCATCCACTCTATATATGCTGTTGTCTATATATTCTTGTCTATTAAAAACTAGCCGGACACAATTAATCCTCTCTTATAATTGCATAAAGCATTGCTTTCAGGTTATTTTTGAAAAATTATGCACTCATACAATGTTCCTCACTACAAAATAATTTTAATTTGCAGTGGTTAAAAGGTGGTTTCAGTAATCACATCTTAAGGCAATGATTTGATTTTGTGTTTGCCTTCAATCAGCAATATTGTGATGTCCATTTGGTATAACCAGATGGAGTTATTGTTTATCAAGCATCCATTATTGAGCCTGCCATGTATCAACCATAGCAGAAAAAAAACAGAACTCAGCAGTATTCAGAGAAACAGAATATGGAAAAAATGTAGATGCCCCAAGGATATTCTTAGATTTTTAACAAGCAACTCTTTATTTGCTGTCCATTAGTTTTCCCTAGTATAGGTGGATGAGCATTATTTTTTGGTTGTTTTTGTGAAGAAATTGTTTAGTAGTACAGCATTTAGGACAAGCAAGTAAGGTAAGTTTGTGAAAATAAGTATCTACTTTGTAGAACAATCTGAGAAATGGAGTCTAGATTGGGGATCAAGGTACAAAAGTCTGCTGTTCCTGTGGGGGCTTGGAGGGAGGAGTGTGATGATTAGGAAATCTGTTTATGTTCAAAAGGAATTACCAGTGTTTTAAAAGCCAGATGCTTTCTGTGTGTTCTCTTGCTTTGGTCCCTTTTTTCTGGTTCCCATAGTAGTGTCTCCAAGTCTATGAGGAGGAAAAAGAAGAAAAAATGGAAATTAATGCTGATAGACCATTAAATAAGCACCTTTGGGTTTGTTTATAGTTCCTCCCCCTTTTTTTTTTCCTGTTTCCCCTGGGTTTTTTCTAGGGGTTTTTTTCCCCTTTTTTGCCAT